GTTAAGCTAAAATCCATAATGACACTCATCTTTCGACATTGTTATGCTTTTTGAGAAAAAACCTGGCGAGAATACTGCCCGTATAATTGTAAATGAAATATCTTAAGTTCCCGATGGCTTCTAAAAGCACAAATTATCGACTGAATATGTATTTAGTCCTTAATATCCCCAAGACTTCCCTATATACATGCAAATTTCTACAAAATATGGGTAATTATTCATCCTTACAAAGTTCGGATTTCTTCAAATATACGAATTAACCACCAACTAATTAATCTATTCGAATAAAATAACTGAGTCATCTATTTTCATCGGATAATAAGACTCGAAAGAAGACGGAGTGTACTCAATAAGTAGAAACGGTAGTGTTTAATTAATCTAAATTGACTAAAATTCCTTCCTAAATTACCTTATGAATAATTGCTAATAAATCCCAAATGTAGTCTAGTTGGCTTTTAAATTAGCTGGAAGATATAGACTTCCTGGAGTGGACGGTATGTTTACCGAATAATTCAATAAATTTTTAATGTCTGGAGATTATGCAAAAGCTGCCTAAATAGCAGCCAGTGCACCTGGTGAGTTGTTGAGAAATGCTTAGACTATTTCTAAATTTAAAACCTTTTAAGGAACTCCTTCACCTCTTTTAATTTATTTCTAATCTTTATTATAAAAAGGAGGCTTGAATGCTCTTGAATCAGTTGAATTGTGTAATCTAGTGCTTTCTTAGGGAAGGAAATAATTCGTAGAAGCCTGGTTGAAGGAAAATAAGCTAGAATGTACAGAATAATTGGGAGATTTAGTCTCCTAACATGATTAAAATTCTGCTCTAGAAATATATAAAAGAGCCAATGCAGGACCTAAAGTATTATAGACTTTAGTAGCTTTAGGAAGATAGGATGAAGCGAATAAATACGCATAATAATCTGGTATAAATGTCGATTATATGTCTATGATAAAGTCTTGTGTATTCACAAATCCTGTAAACGCAGTCTAAATGGCTAAAACTATGTTTGCTTAAAATAATGGAAATAATATACATGCAGTAGCCGAATTATTCGTCTAGGCTTAAAAATTCAAAGAATTAAGTGCTTTATTAGTTGATTGTATGAAACAAAATAAACCAGAAGATGGACCTTGGTAAACTAAGATTTTAGAATGGAATATTATTAATGAACCTAATATTGTGGAGCCTATATTTTAATTAACTAAATGGAATTAGTATAATAGATTAAGAATTGCTTAATTATGTGAATAAAAGTAACTTTTTTAGAAGGCTTTGGAAAATTATTCAGATATAAAAGATATTAAGAGGGTTTGTTTGAATACTTAGTTTATTCCTCATCCTTATCTTGTTTCTTTCTTTGGAAATCTATAACCAGATTGGGCTTTGACTTGTATGTAAGATATGTTAAGACATAATAGATAGAATCTTTAATTAGTTGTAGATATAGCAGTTAAAAATGCATAAAGATTCAATATTTTGCCTTGTATAAAAACTTTTGAATCAGTAATTATAAATATAAATATAAATATATATATATATAT